ATGATAATCGTAAAACGAAAGAGAACAATAAGACGAACAACGGCAAGAACGATGACGAAGACGACGACTAAGACGACGACGGCGCTGGCGGCGGCGGCCGACGACGCGGCGGCGACTGCTACGACGACGACGACGTCAGGAGTCAACCACCGAGGTCTTTGCAAGTCTTTCGCCAAGGGATTGTGTTGGAGGCTTCTTGGGGCCATCGGGGGGCACTCTGGAGGCCAGTTTGGAAGCTTCTTGGGCCCTCTTGGGGTTCTCTTGGGACCTTCTTGGGACTCTCTTGGGGCCCTGTTGGGGCCTTCTTCGGAGCATGGGGCCATCGTGGACGCCATCGATCATCAGAGGGGGGGGTCGCGGTTTCCCCTCCCCTGGAGCCCGACATTTGCTTCTTGGCGCCCTATTGGGGCGTTTTTGGGGCGGTCTTCGGCGTTATTGGGGCCGTGTTGGGGCCTTCCTGGGCACCTCTTGGGCAATCTTGGAGTCATTTTGAAGCCTTAAAGAACCATCGGAAGCGGTTGCCTTGGTGGTTGCCTTCTGCCGTCGTCGTCGTCGTCCTCGTCGTCGTCCTCCTCGTCGTCGTCCTCGCCGTCGCCGTCGTCGTCGTCGCATTGGTTTTCGTATTCGTCGTATTCCTCTCCATCGTCGTCGTAGTCGTTATGCTCGACATCATCGTGTCCAATTTCCTCCCGCACCCTCTTCCTCTTTTTGCTCCTTCTCCTTCCCCCTCCTCCGCTTCCTCCTCCTGGCGCGATGCGGGTGTGTCTTTTGTGGGGCAACTTGCTTGATCGTGCGGGCAACGATGTTTAGCGTTTCCCCCGTCTAGGTCGCGACTGTGAACTAGCCACGACTAGCCACGAATATCCACGGCAACACATCGATTTTAGCCACGAATAGCCATGTTTAGACACGATGTTTTTAGACACGACAGTGTTTTAGACATTTATAATGTTTTAGACATGTTTAGCCATTCGTAAGCCACGCCTAAGCGAGAAGCATGCGCGGCCAAACCCGGCTAGAACTTATGATATTAAACATTTTCGCACCGCGCTCAGGCGAGAGCCACGTCCCGGCTAAACGCGGCTAAAAATCTTAGCCGTGTCTTCCAGGGCCCGGACCTGGACCCAGCCCGGAGCCAGCCCGGAACCGGCCCAGACCCAGACCCGGCCCGCGGACCCGGCCCGGACCCGGTATATTTTACGAAGGATCATGGCTTCCGGGACGCGAACGCGGCGCAATTTACAAGGGATCGTGGCCTCGGGGACGCGAACACAGCGTATGTCACAAATGATTGTTGCGTCGGGAGCGCGAACCTCACGTATTTTTGCGTGTCCCACGGCCTCGCAGGAATTCAGACAACGCAGTTCGGGGGTGGTAATTGGGCCCTCCTCGGCCCCCCCCCTCCTTCGCGCGGACTTCACAATTTACAATAGGAAGCGAAGCAGTAAGCAGGATTGAAACATTAGAGACTGGAAACTGCAACTGGCGCAGGAAGCAGTATCCCTAATCCTTGCAGCCTGATGGCTCCACGAGGGGGCCGGCGGATACCCTTCGCTGCTCTCTATCATATCCTACCTTATCTATTCACTGTGCCAGCTTCTCCTGACCCCGAACCCAGGAAGCCAGGATTTTTGCCGCAACCTCGGCGGCCTACCGAAAGCGGCCAGAGACCATTAATTAGCTACTCCTTCAGTATTCGCCAGGAGCCCTTCAGTGCAAGCACTGACTTTAGAATTTCAAGATTCATGGCACATTCGTGAGGAAGTCTGAGTCCAATCGCACGGTCCACCCTGCCGACACGTGTGGAAGTTGAGACAGGGAGGAGCTTTATCCTTTCAGGACACGGGATGGACGGAGAAAACGGAGCAGCAGCAGGAGGGGGAGGCAGCCAGCTTTGTATGATTGATTGGCCCTAATGTCTGCGGGTTTTCCTGTAGGCGGCGTTTCTGGCCATGCAGTCGGTTGTACAGAGCTGGGGCCGTTGGCGCGCCTCGAGTTCTCATCTCACCTCCTCTGGGGCAGGAGTGCACACATTGACGCGTTTGGCGTCATGTCCGCGTCAGGCCAGACGCAGAATGATCCGCTGTACCTCCCTAATCATGGGAAATACCGAAGAACCGACGGTGCTGGGCAATCCCAGCTGCGATGCGCTTCCTGTCGCCCTGACAGCGCGTCAATTTAAAAGTTGTGTATCGTCTGATTTGTGTCCAGCTTCCTGAGTGCAAGGTTGTTTGAGCCAGACGAACCCAGGACACCGAAGTCTGAGTCCAATCGCACGGTCCACCCTGCCGACACGTGTGGAAGTTGAGACAGGGAGGAGCTTTATCCTTTCAGGACACGGGATGGACGGAGAAAACGGAGCAGCAGCAGGAGGGGGAGGCAGCCAGCTTTGTATGATTGATTGGCCCTAATGTCTGCGGGTTTTCCTGTAGGCGGCGTTTCGGCCATGCAGTCGGTTGTACAGAGCTGGGGCCGTTGGCGCGCCTCGAGTTCTCATCTCACCTCCTCTGGGGCAGGAGTGCACACATTGACGCGTTTGGCGTCATGCCCGCGTCAGGCCAGACGCAGAATGATCCGCTGTGCCTCCCTAATCATGGGAAATACCGAAGAACCGACGGTGCTGGGCAATCCCAGCTGCGATGCGCTTCCTGTCGCCCTGACAGCGCGTCAATTTAAAAGTTGTGTATCATCTGATTTGTGTCCAGCTCCCTGAGTGCAAGTTTGGTTGAGCCAGACGAACCCAGGACACCGAAGTCTGAGTCCAATCGCACGGTCCACCCTGCCGACACGTGTGGAAGTTGAGACAGGGAGGAGCTTTATCCTTTCAGGACACGGGATGGACGGAGAAAACGGAGCAGCAGCAGGAGGGGGAGGCAGCCAGCTTTGTATGATTGATTGGCCCTAATGTCTGCGGGTTTTCCTGTAGGCGGCGTTTCTGGCCATGCAGTCGGTTGTACAGAGCTGGGGCCGTTGGCGCGCCTCGAGTTCTCATCTCACCTCCTCTGGGGCAGGAGTGCACAGATTGACGCGTTTGGCGTCATGCCCGCGTCAGGCCAGACGCAGAATGATCCGCTATGCCTCCCTAATCATGGGAACGACCGAAGAACCGACGGTGCGGGCGGCCGTCCTCGTTTAAAGTGTTTCAAGTAGAATGGTAAGTGATCTTAGGCTTACCAGCAGTTGGAGACTGTTCGGGTTCACGCCACACCGTTATTGCTATGTGTTCCTGCGGCACCCAAAGTTGCAACCAGGTTGTCTGTCGTTGCGCAGGATATCCGGCTGGAACATGACGATACGTTGTTGGTTCGTTGATGCGGATATCCGCCTCGCCAACGCTAGTCTCCCAGGACAAAGAGAGGGAAGGACATATTTTGCCTGAGGAAGTTCGCCCCCTGCCGTAGCCCCATGTGTTCATTGGCCGGATGGCTGGTTGGCTGCTTGATTGGCCGATAGGTTGGCCGTCTGGTTTGCTGGCTGGTCGACTGGCTAATGGCCAGCAGTCTGTATTGCTGGTTTGTCCAGCTGCCCGCGGCAAACCCCGCCGTCGTGCCAGCACCACGCACGCGCAGCTGCCCGCGGCAAACCCCGCCGTCGTGCCAGCGCCAGCGCCAGGGCCGTCGTGTCGACCCGCGACGACCCCGCCGCTGGAGTTCAACTTCGACCGCCGCCTGCGACTTGCCCCGACCCGTCCTCCAAGCCTGGGGCCCAGGACTACGACATTCACCACCAACCACGAAACATCACCCCCTGAAAAGCTACTTTCACTTGTATTCAACACGCTTGTCCACACGTGCGAGCGGACCCGAAGCAGGCCCCTCCCAACGGGAACACAACCCCGACCCCAAGCCCAGACCTGGAGTTCCATCCCTGACGCTACCCTGGCCCTCACGTGATCCATGAGCCGATTCACGCTTGCCACAGCTTGCCAAATCCACCGCCCAGGCACCCTGTCCCTCACATGCATGTCATTCCAAAGCCCTGAGCACACGTCTAACACAATCCACCGCCTTTACACGAACGCTCCCTGGCTGCCTCTTCCAAAACGGCCGTGCTAGGCTCGAGGTCACGCAATCCCAGCGCATCCAAGACGACGCTTCCCTCGAGGGATGCGCTGGGTCCTTCGGTGGAGCTCCTTATGGGGTCACGAAGCGCGAGAGGGGTGTGCCAAAGTGAGGGGGGTGGCGGCCCGCGGACCCTGCCGCCGGGGCCTCCGGTGGAGCTCCCGATAGGGCAACGAAGCGTGCGAGGGGTGTACCAAAGCGAAGGGGGTCGCGGCACGCGAACGCAGCCTTTGGCACCTTCGGTGGAGCTCCCCATGGGGCCACGACCGCGTGAGGGGTGTGCGGCGACCTTGCAATCAGCTTTGCCTGCATGTGGCACGCCGTCGGACCTTATTTTGGAACTTTCTCCTGCTCCTTCTCGCCCCTCGTGCGTCTCCCCCCCTCCCCCGTTCTTCTCGTCCCCCTTGCGAAGGGTCGAATCTGGTCCAAATCGGGTCCCAGATGTGCTCCAGCTGGTCCAAACCAGGCCCAGATCGGACAGAGCTGGGGGCCGCGCAGGCTCCCATGGAGCGGAGACCGACCCAGACATGCGACGTCCTGACTTTTTCAGCATGGGGTCTCTATAGCAGCCCCGATCCTTTCCCAGGGACCGGTTTTTCGCCCCGAGTTTTTTGGTGACGGTCCCGAGGCCCGGCGAGGCCCCTCGAGGCCGAAATTGGCCAAGAGCCTTGCGTTTTATTTTTCACGACGTGATCGTGTCTGGGAAAGGATTCAGGAGGGGAAAAGACACACAGACACAATGAGTCGTCGACTCCCAGGAAAAGATGGGAAAATATAGGAAGTAGTGGGGGGGGAGACGAAAACCCAGAACATGTAGGAAAATACCAGGAATCCTGTTATCTGGGTATGTTTTTTTGCGTGTTCCTGTGCCCCTTCGAAGGATCTCAAGGGTCGGGCGGGGGGGTGGCGGCCCCGTCGCAGCCGTCGCCCTCGGCCGAGGCCGGCGCCGCGGCGGGGCCGCTGGCGGCCACCGGCCAGCGCGTGGCGCAGGCGGCGGCCAAGCCCAACGGGGAGCCCGCCCAGCAGGAGGGGGCTCGACGTCGTCATCGTCGCCGCCGCCACTTGGCCGTTGATCGGGCGGGGCTGGGACGGAGGACCCATCCCCAGGCATGATCGCGTCGTGCAAGAAAGAGAAGAGGACGGGATGCGTTTGGTCATTTTCGGACTCGGGGGGCCCTCGCCGGGCCTCGGGACCGTCAACAAAACGACTGGGGGCGAGACACCGGTCCCAGGAAAGGGTCGGGACTTCCGGGGACCCCGTATGGAAAAATCAGGACGTCGCATGTCTGGGTCCGTTCCAGAGCGTTCCAGAACGCTTTCAGAGTGTTCTGGAACGCTCTGGGAAGGCCGCGGCGCCGGAGAGAGACATCCTCGGGATCCGCCCGATCTCAGAGATTCTCGATTTTTCCTGACCCGATGCTATACTCGTCCTGGCTTCGTCTTACTTGGATTCGGAGGAGGAGGAAATTACCCATGCCAAGATACACCCTTCGTTTTGCTTGTTTCGGTTTGTGTTCGCATTGAAGGCTTGCAGCGGTCGGGAAGAAGCCGCAGCTGACTGGGTACCCTGAGTTTCTTGATGCCGAGACGTTTTGCGCGAATCATCATTCAACAGCCTGGACCAGGGTACCCTGAGTTTTTGTTCGCTGCCAGCGGCTAAGCAAGACTGACCCAAAAAACGTCGGCGATTTCAGGGTTGGGGTAAGTCGGGCCCGTCCCTCAACAGGAGGAATATTCAAACATTGTGAAATAGTCAGGGGATTATGTTTTGCCCATTTTGGGGCATCTTTTGAATATTCTTTATTTTTCGTCGACAATCTGCCTAAAAGGGGGACACGCCCGACTCAAGGGTTGGGCTTCTTCTGATGGGCTTCTGGCGCACTTGCCCTGACTCTACACTTCCCTCGCTTTCGCCTCCCTGGGGCTCCTGGGAGAGCCATCGCTTCCCACGCTGGATCCGCCTCGAGATTCTGGTCACAGCGCGCCCCTCGAGGGGCTCAATTCGGCACCTTCGGGCAGCCCGTGGCTCGAGGAAGCACACCGGCACGCCCGTGCGCGCTTCGAGCCGGGGATGGGCGCAACGGGGGGTCAGCGCTAACGGGGCCCAGCCAAAGGATTCAGGAAGGGAAAAACCACACAGACACAATGAATCGTCGACTCCCAGGAAAATGTGGGAAAATATGGGAAGAGGGGGGAAGACGAAGTCCAAGAAACATGGGAAACTATGGGGAATCCTGTTGTTTGTGTGTATTTCTTTGTGTGTCCCAGGGCCCCTTCAAATCCCCTCCAAGATCCTCTGGCCGACTCCTGCTTGGATCGCCTCCTGGAGCCGACCCCTCTCCTCCGCCCTCCGCCGGGTTCAGGACCCAGACGAGCGCGACGTCCCGATTTTGTCAGGGCGGCGTCCCTGGGAGTCCCGACCCGTTCCCCATGGACCGGTCTTTCCTCCTGGATCGCTTTTTGACGGTCACGAGGCGGAAAATTAGCAAAAACCTCGCGTCCTCGGTTCTCGGCGGTTTTCCATCCACCCCCGAGGGTGAGGTCGGGCGTGTCCCTCTACAGGAGGAATATACAAAAATGGTCAAACAATAGTGTGGTGACGTTTTTGTTTGCTTTTTTACCTAACAGCGAAGACTGATAGGTTTCTAGTGGTGTCAAAAGAGAGCATCTGATGACTCAGAAGGGAGGTCTGGGCGGCGTCCGGACGGCGAGGGCCGGGCTCAGGGCCGGGCTCGTGTTGAGCAAACGGTCACACACTTCGCGCTCTTCGACCTCCCAGAACTCCATTTCCGGGCCACATTTTGGATGCCCGGAGCCACCTGTAGGCCACTTCGTGCTCTTCGACTTCCCAGAACTCCATTCCCGGGCCACATTTTGCATGCTCGGAGCCAACTGTAGGCCACTTCGTGGTCTTCGAGTTCCCAGAACTCCATTCCCGGGCATGATTTTGGATGCCCGGAGCCAACTGTAGGCCACTTCGTGTTCTTCGAGCTCCCAGAACTCCATTCCCGAGCCACATTTTGAATGCCCGGAGCCAACTGTAGGCCAGTTCGTGGCCTTCGAGTTCACAGAACTCCATTCCCGGGCATGATTTTGGATGCCCGGAGCCAACTGTAGGCCACTTCGTGTTCTTCGAGCTCCAAGAACTTCATTCCTGGGCCACATTTTGAATGCTGAGGCAGGCTGATGCTGAGGCTGAGGCAGGCTGAGGCTGAGGCAGGCTGAGGCTGAGGCCGAGGCTGAAGGCAGACTGAGGCTGAGGCTGAAGCAGGCTGAGGCTGAGGCTGAGGCAGGCTGAGGCTGAGGCTGAGGCAGGCTGAGGCTGAGGCAGGCTGAGGCTGAGGCTGAGGCTGATGCAGGCTGAGGCTGAGGCAGGCTGAGGCTGAGGCCGAGGCTGAAGGCAGACTGAGGCTGAGGCTGAGCAGGCTGAGGCTGAGGCTGAGGCAGGCTGAGGCTGAGGCTGAGGCAGGCTGATGCTGAGGCTGAGGCTGAGGCTGAGGCTGAGGCTGATGCAGGCTGAGGCTGAGGCAGGCTGAGGCTGAGGCCGAGGCTGAAGGCAGACTGAGGCTGAGGCTGAAGCAGGCTGAGGCTGAGGCTGAGGCAGGCTGAGGCTGAGGCAGGCTGAGGCTGAGGCTGAGGCTGAGGCAGGGTGAGGCTTAGGCAGGCTGAGGCTGAGGCCGAGGCTGAAGGCAGACTGAGGCTGAGGCTGAAGCAGGCTGAGGCTGAGGCTGAGGCAGGCTGAGGCTGAGGCTGAGGCAGGCTGAGGCTGAGGCTGAGGCAGGCTGAGGCTGAGGCTGAGGCAGGCTGATGCAGGCTGAGGCTGAGGCAGGCTGAGGCTGAGGCCGAGGCTGAAGGCAGACTGAGGCTGCAGGCTGAGGCTGAGGCTGAGGCAGGCTGAGGCTGAGGCTGAGGCAGGCTGATGGCTGAGGCTGAGGCTGAATGCAGGCTGAGGCTGAGGCAGGCTGAGGCTGATGCTGGCTGAGGCTGAGGCTGAGGCTGAGGCTGAGGCAGGCTGAGGCAGGCTGAGCTGAGGCTTGAGGCAGGCTGAGGCTGAGGCTGTGACTGCGACTGCCAAAGGGGAATGCTTCCAGATTTGCTCCTACACATCGCTGTTAGGTTGCTTTGCCGGGATAATTTTTTAACGACGCGATCATGTTTGGGGAGTTACTTCGTACCCAGCTTGGGTTCGCGACGTGGCCCGGGCTGGCCCGGGCGCTGCGCCGACCCGGGGTAAGGTGCGTCCCCGACGGAGATCCGCGCAGATCTCTTCGATCCGCGCTGGGCGGGTCTGGCGCGCCCAGGGGGCAGGTTCGGAGGTTTCGGGAGTTCGAGGCTCGAGGTCTCCAGGCGCCTGTCGTCGGTTCTCGGCGGTTTTCCATCCACCCCCGAGGGTGAGGTCGGGCGTGTCCCTCTACAGGAGGAATATACAAAAATGGTCAAACAATAGTGTGGTGACGGTTTTGTTTGCTTTTTTACCTAACAGCGAAGACTGATAGGTTTCTAGTGGTGTCAAAAGAGAGCATCTGATGACTCAGAAGGGGGGTCTGGGCGGCGTCCGGACGGCGAGGGCCGGGCTCAGGGCCGGGCTCGTGTTGAGCAAACGGTCACACACTTCGCGCTCTTCGACCTCCCAGAACTCCATTTCCGGGCCACATTTTGGATGCCCGGAGCCACCTGTAGGCCACTTCGTGCTCTTCGACTTCCCAGAACTCCATTCCCGGGCCACATTTTGCATGCTCGGAGCCAACTGTAGGCCACTTCGTGGTCTTCGAGTTCCCAGAACTCCATTCCCGGGCATGATTTTGGATGCCCGGAGCCAACTGTAGGCCACTTCGTGTTCTTCGAGCTCCCAGAACTCCATTCCCGGGCCACATTTTGGATGCCCGGAGCCAACTGTAGGCCACTTCGTGCTCTTCAAGTTCCCAGAACTCCATTCCTGGGCATGATTTTGGATGCCCGGAGCCAACTGTAGGCCACTTCGTGTTCTTCTAGTTCCCAGAACTTCATTCCTGGGCCACATTTTGAATGCTGAGGCAGGCTGATGCTGCGGCCGAGGCAGGCTGAGGCTGAGGCAGGCTGAGGCTGAGGCCGAGGCTGAAGGCAGACTGAGGCTGAGGCTGAAGCAGGCTGAGGCTGAGGCTGAGGCAGGCTGAGGCTGGGGCTGAGGCAGGCTGATGCTGAGGCAGGCTGAGGCTGAGGCTGAGGCTGATGCAGGCTGAGGCTGAGGCAGGCTGAGGCTGAGGCCGAGGCCGAAGGCAGACTGATGCTGAGGCTGAAGCAGGCTGAGGCTGAGGCTGAGGCAGGCTGAGGCTGAGGCTGAGGCAGGCTGAGGCTGAGGCAGGCTGAGGCTGAGGCTGAGGCTGATGCAAGCTGAGTCTGATGCAGGCTGAGGCCGAGGCTGAGGCCGAGGCTGAGG